CCCTACGCTTTTGAGAATTGCATTTTTTGTTACCCCAAAACTAATTCCGTCGCTCTTACGCTCAAATTTAAATTATTCTTAGAATATGTAGTTTCCATTTAAGCTCCAAAACGTCTGCTATGATTGGGATAGATCGAAAGAGGTAACAACTGTATGCCACAAAAAAATTTGAAGTACATGCAAGCAACTAGCTCGCACTAGACACATGTATGCCTTTGCATACCTATTTTTAATAAACACAACACTACTATATTAGCACATGGTCTACCGATGAGTCACATGACCCCAAAGGTAAGGTCACTCAGGGGGGACCCCTGGGGAATACCTTGCGCTACAATAAATTTGAAGCACTTTGTTGAAGGAAGATTGTGTTGGGGTGGATGCTGACATAAATAAAATCATACTTGAACAACACCGTGTTGGGGAAATGTCTTATATTAACAGAAACTCCAAGTGTCTATCAATCTCAATGGCTTAATTAATCACTGGAAAGCTTGTAAAAACTGAAATACAATAAATTAAAATAGGCTATCATCATACAATAAACGCTAATTGAAATGTCCTAAACTCGAACAGGTGGGGCATTAATATAGATAAATCAAAACAACACAAATATCATAAGCGCAACAAAGCTACCACGCCGGGCTGGCAGCTTGCCAAATCGTGCCATTTCGATAACAGTGAGCCCGTAAGAAACTGGTCAGCGATCTCTATACAAATGGTGCTTTCAATATGGCAGCCCTTTTAGTAAAACTCCACGAAGCTGTGAATGATTACAAGAATTCTATTAAAGACAAAGCTTTAGCAACAGAAATCGGGGGCGAGCTTTTAGTGTTGAGTAGAGCAGTTATCAAGAAACACATATTCGACAGTGAAAGGGCTTTCAAATTTCATTTAGCTCAGCCCGCAAGAATGTTGGCAAGGATTGTTGCCTTTTGGCACATCAGAATGCTGAGAAAAATGAAGCGAAAAACGCGTGCTTCCCGGCCATGGACTGTCAATTTCTCATGGAATTTACCATGGGAGGTGTGATTGTTTCAAGGTTGTTGCTTTAGCTCCTGTTGCTGGTGGTGTGGTTGTCAGGAACGCATGTGCTGTCCATGAGATACACATCACAGATATGGGAGAGATGAAGGGTCTCTTTCTCTCACTGGCAAATAAATATCGAAAAGGAACAATCCATAAGAGCAATGTCGTCCTCAAAAAGGAAAAAGATGGTTCCTTTAGCCAGATGATTGTCACTGGTGACTATCCAGCTAAGTTTACATATTGAAAAAACTCTGAAATTATGAAAATCAGCCTCGGGTATGGACATTACAATAGGCTGGGAGTTCCTCAGCACTCTCTGGCATAAAGAATAACAGGACCGTTTGCTGAGATCAGCAAAAAACAGTGCTAGAAATAATTGGCATAATTTCCATAATTATGTCAGCTAAATGCAAGAAACTGTTGGCTGTTTATTTAGGTATTCAATCCTTGTCATCAATCATTTTGTTCAGTTTAATTAACTAATTAATTAACTCAAACCATGAAAAGTACAGTTCATGAACACATAGTTGGAATTGTTTTATTCAAATAACTCTTAAAGACCATGTAAAATACAGCACATGAATACACATTTAAAATTATTTTATTCAAATAACTCTTTTTGAAACCATGTTAAGTACAGCACATAAGCATAATCAGCTGTTTGATAAGTTTCATTATGTAAAATTTCAAGATGAATGAATCAGATAGAATATTGTTACCAGGAGTTAGGGGGGGAGGGACTTTCCCCAAATATCCAACAGGGATATGTGACATCAATGGTTTTTGACCCTTTCCCCTTATATAGAACATGTATTTGTTTTTGAGACTTTTCCTAAAGCTTGTCAATTTCACAGAAATTGTTTAGCCTCCCTCCCTTGCATAGTATTAATTCCTAACCCTAAGCCAAGTTTCCTATACAGGAGGTCTGTGGTCTTTGATTTCCTGCAAGACACCCTCAGCTATTGTGACACGACTAAACCGGCTGATAGTGTCTCTTAGCTGAAGGCCAATGAATGCAAATGTGCAAATTTGGAGCTGTTGCTGAGGACTGTCGTCCTCACGCAAAATTGCCTTTAGGATAGACATAAAATTGTGGCAGAACTTTCTCGTCTCTTTCCCTGTGAATCGATAGGAGAGGAATCCCTTCTGTCCCTGGGAGCACCACTTTTTAACCTTCTTGTACAATCTACTAGCCCCAATTTCTTTCAAAGTGGTAAGATGGGAGGCTAAAGCACATCCCGGTACATCCCTAACTGGATTAGTACAATTGGGTGCGAGCTTGCTATTGTCATTGGCATGGACAAGCATAAGCTCATGTAATTGCTGACATGCATTGTTTGAACTATGCAGAGGCTCAGCAAAAATCTTGTCAACCAGGGGACCCAAAAGGGGAGTAATTTCTTGATGGGAATTTAGACTTCTTATATAATCCAACAACTTAGTTCTTTTTGTAGACTTGGCAAGTCTTGTTTGACCCAACTCTTTCCTTTAACCTTTGTTGCTACCTGAAGCCTCTGTTTGTACACCCATGGCTTCCATAGGCATTGTTCAGATTGACCCAAACTAGCATTAACTATGGACTAGTTGTCATTGTTAACATTGCCAAATGGAGAAAAGTAAAATGCTGAGTTTGCTAGTTCTCCACTGAATGTGGAGGCCCACTTCATGTCAGAGGGAATTAACTTGAGTAAAGCTAGCTGAAGTTTTGCTAACTGGCAGGTAAAAAGTCTTACAATCTATGACAGTCTATGTCACCCACATCAGAAACAAGCTTTCGTGCGTAGTGCTGCATTAAGAGGTGAGATTCACTACAATTTGCTCCTGCAAGAATAAAGTTGTCAGTTTCACTTGCAATTTGCTGACCTACATTAAGGAATGATACAAGCCAAGAAGTGGTCTTGTCATCTTTGCCGAAGGGGGCACCATCAGCACCTAGAGCTACTCTTAAGTGATACGGTTCGGATCCAAAATGACACAGGGATGGACTAGTCTTATCTAAGTAAATATATATATCAGCAAGCTGCAACAGAAATGGTTGTAGCTCTCTATATGACCCTTCCACAACTTCATCTGCATCTAAATCATAGCAAAAATGTTTGAAATCATTAACATTTCCAACATCAATGCTTTTGACAAAAGTTATCAATTTCTCATAGGGCAAGATCTTTGGCAAGCAAACACTTGACATAAACTTAAAGCTTTCCAGTTTCTTGCCACTTTTGCAAGTATTCATGGAAAGATTGAGCCTAATACTTTTATATTTCTCCTTACTCAACAATCCCTTGCTGTACGATACTCTTAGGCTTCTAATTTTATTGTCAAAGCTATTCTCAAAAGTTGGAATACTTTCCTTCACTATGTGAGGTAAAACTTTCTTCATTACTTTCTTAGATAAGGAAAATTACTTTCCCAACTGAAACGGTGTGGCTTCCTTAACTAAAGTCAGCCACAAAGCATCCAGTATTGGACTTCTATTCTCCCTTGTACCACCATGGATTTCATTACAGGCATCGATAGTCTCCCTTGTACGTCTTTGGCAAGTTCTTTTTGCAACAGGAACTGCATATTCTTCAGAACTGGCTTCTGATATAGAGGTTGGAAACCTTTGTCTTTTCAGAAGTTTTCTTTTTCTTACAATGTCAGTCTCGATTACTCTTTTTTTTTCTAACTCCACATCATTCTGGATTCTTTCAACCTATGAAAGATTTGCCGGATAGTTAAATTAATCCACAGTTCCAGATTTTCTACCCTAAGATAAATAGAATACCAAAATCCTGAAAAGAACTTGAGTCAGAAAATTCATACATCAATGTATGAGACTGCTAAAATTTAAACAATTTGCAACTTGAGAAAAATCACATAAGATACTGAACTCAGTAAAGCTGAGGCACATTTTGGATCACAACTTTTGTTGTTTATATTTGCAGTTCCTAGTTTAATATATTTAGTAAAAATTAATAAACACCTATATAAATATTATCAACACCATTTATCAAAAAAATGAACAAAAATCAGTCGTTATTTATCAAAATAATACATATGAACAAAGTTACTTTTCCTTACCTTTCTTTTCAGCTTTTTCAGCTTTGAACTTTCCATCAAGTAGACTTTGCAGTTTGAAATAAATTCCTCTTCGAGCACTTTCCACCTACTGGCAAGTTCCCTGATTGGAAACTTCTCCTTTGCTATTGTCTTGGAGCTTCTTGCTCTCTTCCTACCCTTCCTTGGCATTTTCAAAAGCAGCGAGCAAGCTCACTCCCAGTTATACTAATCCAGCTAGGGATGAATCTGGTTCTGCTTCAACACTGGTCAACATGGCCAGATTCCAGCTTTCAGTTCGCATGGTACCAATTTACAGAAGCTGAAAACAATGAATCTACATTCAGCAAACACAATGTGCAAATACAATGTCTATCACAGGAATCCATCGTTTTTATCCATCGTTGTCTTTGTCCTTTCGTTGGTAGGATCTTTGTTGGTGGCTTGTAATTTGGTTTTAGTATCCTTCAGCAATTGAATTTCATGATCAATTTTCATTTCATTCCATTTCATTCCATTTCCATCACCACCTCCCTACAGCGCGCTGTAGGGAGGTGGTGATGTCATGGCAGGTTGTAGTTCGTTGGCAATTGTTGGCGTGTACACTTGCAAGAAGCGACGGTTTCTTAGTGTCAGTCGTTGTGATCTGTCTACTTTCAACCTGTACTGGTTGTTGCCCGTTGACTCTACAACCAGTCCTGACCTATCCCACTTGTTGGAGTGGAAGCCCTGTTGGTTCTGCAGGAACACCCGGTCGCTAGTGGCCAATGGTTGAAGCGGACATGAGTGAGGTCATAAACTCTCGGTGGTTCGGGAGATCCTGGTCTGTAGAGCTTCTTCTTTTGCAGTCCATGTGTTGCGCCAAAGTGGTCGGACATGCGGGTTTGAGAATTTCTGTAAGCGGTTAACAAATGAGAGTGAGACCCGTTGGGGGCATCCAAAGATGATTTCAGCAGGTGAGAGGTTGCAGTTGCGGTTGGGGGTGTTACGAAGCTGCAGGATTGCTTGGAGGAAGCGGTCCTGGTCTAGGCTTCCCATTGGGCCAGTATAAGACATCAAGAGCCTCTTAGCAGCTTTAACGGCTACTTTGGCTCTACCATTGGATAAGGGTGAGGCTGCGGATGACACACGATGTTGCACATTCCAAGACTGGAGGAAGTTCTCTGTGATTGATGCTGTGAATTATGGGCCACCGTCGCTCCAGAGTTCTTCTAGTACACTGAAGGTGGTGAAAAACTTGCGTAAGTGACGGACCAGGCCAGCGGATCCTCCTAGATTAGTTCCTGAGGTAGAGCTTAGCACTTCTACCCATCCTGAGAGGTGATCTCCCACAATTAGGTAGTGGTGGCCACTGTAATCAAAGAAGTCAGCAAAGATTTTGTCAAATGGAGTGGATGGGGGTGTGGAGGGTTTTGGTGGTGTGGCTGCTTGTGATGACGCATTGCAGTTGCATTCAGCATGTCTGTTTCTTGTCTCTTGAATGCGACATACCAGGCCAGTAGACAATAGCCCTTGTGCGTTGTTCCATTGTAGAGACTTCCTGGTGGGCTGAGTGAAGATGCTGTAGGACATTGTGGCAAAGGGATTCTGGTACCACAACAAGGTCGTTGTACATCAGTACACCGTCTTGTGAATAGATTGATGAACAGACATAGCCCTGCAAGGGCTGGGTCACTGCTGTCTATGTTACCCTGAGTCTCAAGCAGAGTGAGGATGTGGCTTAAAGATTTATCTTGGGCAGTCGCATCAGCAATCAGGGACCAGTGGATAATAGTGGCTTTTTCAGCATGGCTGCAAATGGTAGCCATCAGTGCTAACTCGGCCATGTTGGGGTTGCTTGGAGTCCCAAGTGTGAAATCTTTTACAGAGCCTGATGGAGAAGGGTGTCTGGAGGTGGCATCAGTGGTTTGATTGCATTGTCTGTTGCGGTGTACGATGTCGAAGTGCCACGGTAGGGTCCTCTGCTTTAGTCTGAAGAAACCTGAATTTGAAATCTCATCAAGAGTCCGATTGCCAGAGATTTTCACCAGCAGTTTGGTGGTCAGTAACGACGATGAGATTGTCACATCCTTGGGTGAAATATTGTGTTTGCTCAAGAGCCCACACCACTGCAAGGGCTTCTCCTTCAATAGCTGTGTATCGCTGCTCTTCAGAGGAGAGGAACTGTGAGCCCGCAAGGGTGATCTTCCATCCACCCTGGCAGCAATTGGGTACTCCAGAGGGGCAGCGCAATGTTGTTGAAGCAGGAAGTATCCTATGCCTCGGCTGGACCAATTGGGGCAGAGGCAAGTACATCTTTTCAAGTTGAAGATCTCCACACCCTCACGAATAGCTTCGATGATGCTCTTTTTGGATGTTTGGAAGGCCGCTTCCAACTCAGGAGACCATGCGAACTTGTGGCGTGGGCTCAAGAACAGCTTGAAAGGTGCCATAGTATCATGCAGTTGTGTGTAGTTTGTCACTTAGTTGACAAGGCCAACTAGCTTCTGACGTCTGTTTTGTATGCTGGGGTGGGGAAGTCCCTGATGGCATCAAAGTACTTTGGGAGGGGTTTGATTGTCGTGTCCGATAGCCTGAAGCCTGCGAAGTTGACATTCTTTTGGGCTAACTGGAACTTATCTGTGTTTAATACAACGCCAGACTGTCCTAACCAAGTGAGAAAGTCAATGGTCCTCCACCAATGATGTTTTAAATTTGTGTCATAGTGGATGGTGTCTTCTATGCAATGCTCCTTTCGTTCAAACTCTGAAAGGATGGCATCGAATTGCCGATTGTAGCCATCAGTGCTATTATAGCGCCAGCAACCAAAAGGTGTGAAGAATGTTTTCAGATGATGAGCAGATGTGCCCAGCGGGACGCTGTGATAGCCATTCCAGGTGTCAGTCACTGTCTTCCAAGTGTCCTTTGGTACTTGACGGGCTAGGTAAAAAGCCAATTCTATCGCAAACATTTCACGTTGGTAGAACTTATTGAGAGAGGAGAGGTCCACTGTCCAACGGGTAGAACAGTTGTGTTTCCTGTTGACCACCACACCGTGGCACCATGTCACTGGTTCTCCATATGGAATGCATTCAACTACTCCAAGCACTTCATCGCAGAGGAGGTCCTCATACACTTTCTTTTGCCAGTGGATGGGTATGGTTGCTGGAGTATGCGATGCCTTTGGTGTGGCAGTGGGGTCCACATGTTTTTCGATAGGTGGGCCATCCATGCATGGCAATGCCCGGTGAGGGCAGGTATTGAAGGTTGATGATGCGTATCTCTCGAGGAGCCAGGTTTTCATCCGTTTGTTGTTTTCTGGGATGCAAGGAAATGGCAGCTCAGCAGGACGTAATGGTGGGGCTGTTCACTGGGGACATGAGCACGCGGCATGACTGGAAGTTTGTAGTCCTTCACAGCCATCGGTGATGAACCGATTGGCATTGGTTGGCAGTGTTGCAGGTGTCGCATTGAGGCGGTTCATCCCACCATTGTTCTGTGTGCCATCAGGTGAAGGGAACTTCTTTGATAGTAGGCTGAGGTTAAGCAGCAACTTATAGGACAGGTACATAGCTCTGATGGAGCTGCTGATGTACACCATTGAATGGCTGGATGTGGTTTTGCCACTTGGTAATGTTACAACCAGCTTGGCAAAGAATGCACCTTCTATTCCAATGGGAGAACGGTTGGCTGCTGTTAGACTGAGGTCATCACGTGAGAGCTTACGAGCCTCATGCAGCGTATGGAGGGTCAGTTACAAGACCAAATTAAAAACCTAGATCGACGATTTGACGCACACAAAAATGGTCTAGCGCAACGCAGACAAGGTACTCGGGGTAACCGAGAAAGATCAAGAAATGGGAGACCAGTATGTTATCGCTGCGGAATGATAGGACACTTTCAGAACAGATGCCCCCAAAGAGATACTGACCAGCGTCAACTGGTACCCAGGTACCCAAACACTGCTCCTAACAACAATGTGCGTCATTCCGCTGGTCCACAGTCACGCTTGAGAGCGCTGCCTTCGGCGCAGAGTCAGAATCATGTTGCTGTTCTGGGTAATGACGGCGTTACTCCTTCGGGACATTACATGATAGATGCCACGCGAAGCAGACCCCCGAATCTGCACACCGAAGAGCCCTTTTACCATGAGCCTTATAATGGAAAGAGTTATAACTATGGCTACTATGCTGACGATCTAGAAAATGATGAAGTGGATGAATGGGATTATGACTATGAACATTATAACGCCGATCTGGCTTACGAGGGAGTAGGTGACTTTGATATGGCACCATATGCCGAAGACCCAACGCCACCCTCCAGTATCTCGTCCATACGGAGAGAGTCCCCCCATACCTCATCAACTCACCAGTTTCAGCCATACTTTGCCCAGTTTGCGCAATAAGGGCCCCAGTCACTGCCAAGAGAGGAAATCGCTGGCCACCTAGACTCAGATCCTTGCAAGTCATCTCCTGTAACTGCCACTAGTTTCCAGTTAGAGAAGGAATGTAAATTAGAAAATGGGTTTCCGAAGGAAGATTTCACGCCACCTCCCGAATCGGAAACTGCGCCCCAGTTGGCCGACCGTTTTGAGCCACCCAGAAGTGTGCAAGAAGGCCCACGCCCTAGAGATATCTTGTCACAGACGACAGAAATGCCATTACAGAATTTTCCAGCCTCTAATGATGTCCCCACAGAAAATCCAGATGCTGCAGAAAATGTGTATGAAGCGACTCGCCCAGATCATCGAAAAATGACTGAAGGCAAGGGTACATCAAGCATTGATGTCAAAAAGGAGGTACCATCCACTACGAATCGCCATA